TCCTTTATAATGCTGTAGCTTCAACAGCAGGTAGAAAGACTCCAACCCAGCCTTGCCTAAAGACAGTCACTGTATAAGTAACTTCTACATCTACTTGCATGGTGACACTTGCCATCCCACCCCATGGCCAGTCATCAGTGACGGAGCAGGGAGGGGTGTTACCCCGCAGCCAATCACACCAGCCGGGGAGGGGGGTTACCCCCTGCTGTCGTGCATACTGACCTGGAAGTGCCAGCGGCGCTTCTCCTGGCGCCTATACTCCCTGACCAGCACTCTCGGGGGGGGCGGGCACCAGCACTCCCGTTGCCCGAGTGGAAAAATCTGGATTTTTTAATCACGGAAAAATCTGGATTTTGGGTTACTTTTTTATATCTGGAAATTGGGGATTTTTTTTAATCAGAGAAAACCATGATTCCTGGTGATGAGGTACTGGCAGCGCTTCTTTTTATATGTAGGTGCCAAGAGGTTGGGGCTGGCATCAGAGAAGTAACATTGCCAGTACAGTGCACACTTCTTTGTCCTCATGCTCAGAGTATGCATTATGCGTCTGCCTTATGAATGGTCACCAGGTGAGCCTAAACAACTGCCCTATATACAGGAACTGAGGATGCAGTTCCCCATCAAACCCCTGCCTGTGATTTGGAGGATATGTCGCTTCTGTTCCAATTACGAGCTGGATTAACTCTCAAAACAGAAGCATACTATCAGGGACACACAAAGGGAGGTTTTATCCTGCCTGAATGTGGCAGAGAAGCTGGCAGGCTGGAGAAAACCTCCCCACCCCCTAATGTCTCAGTTGGAGGTGCTTCAATGTAGAAGGGGGTAAAAGAAGCGTCTGCAGCCATATTCAATTAGCTGCGAATACTCCGTTTAGAAACCTGTTCCACAGGCTGCTGCTTACAGCATGGGTGTAGCATATTTACTGTGTGACTAGGGTTCTTAACAGACCGAGCAGCCCATTATTATGGCTTAATATACTGTCCACCCAGCCTTCCTCATCCCTTCAGGTACACATTAGAGTGATCTCTCATGCAACAGAAGTAGACTGGAGCCTTTACTATATCTGCAAAGAACAGTGCACCAAAACAAGCCTCTGAAGAAACCACAAAGGGAAATAAGGGAGTCAAAACTGCAGCAGTACTGGAGTTTGGGCTGAGTCAGATGCAGTGGTATGGGAAAGGAGAATTATGCACTACTGGCTTCTGGCACAACTGGGTTTGGCCCTTCATTCTGTGTTCTGGCTTGAAATAGGTCAACAAAGGCGGGACATGCCACCTGAGATCCTCTTAACCTAACATAATACATGATAAAAGAGACAACAGACCTTCTCCTTCCCCATTGCACAATTTGGCAAACTGTTAAATTAATTCTTTCTAATTATCATAATCTTACAAGTCAGCGGACTTCTTTTGTTTTGACTCATGCATTCTAGTTGTTAGCGCTCTCTTTGGCATCCCTCCTCATTAGCAGTGAAAAGCTGTGTTTGACAGATTCAGTCTAACATGTTTTTAATGTATGATAGAAACAAAAAGGTACTAAATATTTTTGTGTTGCTAATATATTACAGAAGATACTGATGCTTTTTCTCCAATGCTGTTTTTGGTCCTGTATATTTAGACTGTAAGTTCTTCAGAGTAGTGGAATATTATCTTTTTCACCTAGAAGTATGGTACTGTTTTCAGCTGGTACCGCTTACTCTATTGTAATATAAAAATAATGACTAAACCAAAATTCAGTATTGTCATTTTTCCTATTACAATTTTTGGAAACAAATGAAAAGGATTTTAACACTGAATTACAAAACTGAACATTTCAGAAGACTGCTCGTGTTGCTATCAGAACATGGAATTCTGAAATTTTGCTGCATCTTTATCAAATATTCAATATTATCTAATAGAAAACAGGTTTAGATCTGCAAAACTGAATGCAAGATGTGGTCAACGCCTTAAATTGACACAATTTTAACAGAAATTAGTAGCAGAGGGAGCATATTTTGCCTAAATTTTCAAATAAAAAACTTAGGGAAAGTTATGGTCTGAGATTAATTTTCTGACTCTTCATTCGAAGTTGACTATCTCTGGTACTGAGTATATCTTCTCCAGCCTTGTCTGCCCAGGGGATTCTCTCCAGTCCAGTCAACTACTAGTGCAAACACTTCAAGAGACAAGGAAACACTGTGGAATTTCTCTCAAGCAGGTGTAAGCCGCACTGTTGCCAGTACTCGCTTTGCCTTTCCAAACCACAGGTTCACATTAGTGCAGTAACAGTGATGCCACAAATGAGGACATATCCTCCAAATGCATACGTAGAGCCTTAAAAAACGCTTGTTTTTAAGACTATTAAGGACTGATTGGGTCCACAGCTGTTGCTATGCATCAGATGGGAATTTGCTCAAGAAAAAAAAAAATCTGAATCTGTACCTGGATCAGAGTTGTTGTAGTCCATTTGTATTCCTGCCCTTTGTGGGCCTTGATTTGACTTTACAATTTTTCTGCTTCAACAGTTGCTTTAGGCTAAGATTTTAAAGGGGCCTAAGAAAACTGATCCCTAATTGCACTGTTTTTCAAGGGGAACTGGATTCCTAACTCCATAACACTTGAAAAAACTAGAAAACAAGAATTCAGTTTCACGAAATGTTGAGGTTGGAACAAGTGCTTTCCTATCAGGATGAGTTTTGTGAAAAATATAATATGACCTACCCTAAGATAATAAATAGCCTAGTGGTTAGGGCACTTGTTTGTAACTTGGGAGTCTTGGGTTTGAGTCTCTACTCTGCCCAGTTCAAGTCCTTGCTGTCACTTGGACCAGAAATTTCATCCTAGACCTACCTCAGCAAGAGTGTCAGTAGAATTGATGCTCCTGCCAAAATCTTGTTTCAGTGGACTTTAGTTAAAATCTTTCATTGAAAGAGATTTTGATCAACTGTACTTGATACTTTTTTTTTTTTT